TGTGAGCCTGTTTAGCTCAGATAAGTCCAGGTATAGGACTTCCGGGGTGTGTAGCTATGGTTATGATAATGTAGAAGGTCAGAAGCTGTGAACCCTTCAGTGTCTCAGATGAAGCTGGGCGAGAAGAGGTACCCTGACTAGACTGGCCTAGTTTGGATTGTATTGGGAACAGGGCAGACATCAGAAAGGGGCGTGTACCCAAATAATGGCAAAGTTCTTATTAGCTACCTTGTAAAGGGAAAGGATGTTCTCTGAGGATGAGGGAATGACTTTTAAATATTTGTTAGTCACTACCTGAAGTTCCTGAAGATCTGGGCAAGGAGGCGCCTTTGGAAACCACTCAGCTGGTGGAGAGGAAGGGGGAGTGGAGGGAATCGATGGAGAAATGGCTCTGAGCACCAAAGCGGGGGGGGGGGGGGGGCTGAGCAGGGCTTGGTGCAAAGGACAGGTTATTAAGGGTGCTCTAATTTGAACTTTGTTGCTGTGATAAAATATCTTGTTGAAAAATATCAAATGGGAGGAAAGGGTTATTTGACATACAATGCAGAGTTACAGTCTATCATTTTGGGGAAGTTGAGGCAAGAACTCAAGCAGCTAGTCATATCAACAGACAAGAGCAAAGAGAGTAAACACATTCTTGCTTGCTTTTTCTCAGTTTGCTTTCTTCATTTTTACCTAGTCCAGGCCAGGCTAGGGAATATTGTCACTTCTGGTGGGCTGGGTCAGCTAATAATCAAGTTAGTCTCCCACAGATATGTTTGTCGGCCAACTTAATCTAGATATTTCATCAGCTGAGGCTCTTCCCAGGTGTTTCTGGTTTGTGTCATGTTCCAGCTTAGTGGGGTGGCAGCATGAGGCTGGCTGTGTTCCAACATAGTAGGGCAGCATGAGGCTTGTTGTGTTCCAGCATAGTAGGGCAGCATGAGGCCGTTGTGTTGCACCTGCAGTCAGAAAGAGTGCTGAATGCTGGTGCCCATCTTGCTTTCTCTTTTATTCATTCTGGGACAGCCCACCTCACTTAACCTAGAATCAAGTTAATTCTCAGTAATAACTCTCACCACCACCCTAACTAAAAGAAGATAGTTCTAAAACAGCGCTTGAGTCCCTTTGTCTCGTGAGTGCAGTAAACTTGAGTGTTTCTGTTCTGGTGTGAAGGGCAAATGCTTCACCCAGCTCCCAGCCCTGGTCATACAGATGTCTGTTGGCTGGAAACTGCTTGTTTGTTCCCGGCAGCTCAGACTCAAAATAACCACACAAAAACTGTATTAATTAAATCACTGCTTGGCCAATCACTTAAGCGTATTTCTAGCTAGCTCTTATATCTAGAATTAACCCATTTCCATTATTTTATATTTTACCATGAGGTTTGTGGCCTACTGACAAGGTTCCAGCTGGCAGCTTGAGTCTTTCCTCTCTGGTGGCTCCATGGCATCTCTCTACTCCGCCTACTCTCTCTATATCTCTTCCAGCTTGTCTATATTCTGATAAGCCATTGACTGAAAGCAGCTTATTTATTCACCAATAAAAGCAACACATATACAGAAGGACTTCCCACACCAGATGTTTCTTGGCACTTACAGTGGCACCCTCCTGAGAACCCTGTGCCCTACCTTGCATGTCTGCTGTCCTGTTCAGTTGCAATCTCTACCCTACACCCCTGTACTCACATCTAAGAATATACTATCCATTACTTCTGACTAATAAATTCACTAACTGCCTTACTCTGGTAATCATGCATCTCACCCCCCCATCTCAACTCTCTGAATGGGGGGGGGGCTCATCCTCAGGGTTCAGGCTCGAGGTAGTGTCTGCCTTCAGCCCTTCAACAGTTGAAGTGATGGGAACTGTGTAGAAAGAATGAGACAAGAGTGGTGATTGTAATTGTTAATTGTGGGTCAAAAGACAGCACAGGAAATAATGCAGGCCACCTTGGTGTGGCTCTGAATTGCATTTGCTGGCTGCAGTGTGAAGACGGCCTAGTGATCTGTCAGACCATGACAGTCTTCTAAAGATCCTATTGCCTTTAGTTGGTGTGGTAGAATTTGCTGAACAAATTCAAGTAGGGAACTGGATTTATAGTCAAAAAAATGGCTGCAGAAAGAATGAAGAGTGGCCATTCTGTTTTGAGGTTCTCTTATCAGGCATGACCACGGAGAAAGTTCCAGAACACAAATTATTTAACTGATGATATTGGTTTACAAATAAGGAGAGTCTTGGGTATCTTCTCTGTTTCTTATCACCGGAAGTAGCCTTTGGCAGTTTGGCTACTACCTGTTTCCTGACTTCTAGGAAGGTCAGAAAACAATGCTGTATAGATTTGGTGCTTCCATTTGATACTTTCTGGCTTGTTAGTTGGGACCTAGTAAAAAAGTTTAGTGCCAAACAGTAGTCTCCTATAAACTGTCACATCTAATCCAGAAAATCTCTACTGCGAATAATGTTCCCCCATTTAGGGGACATTTGCAACTATCTGGAGATGGTTTAGTTGTGGCAGCTTGACAGGTAGTTTACCCAGATGGAGGCTGAGGATGGTGCTGAACATCCTTCAGTGTGCAGAGCGGCCCCTTTTGCTAACATTACCTGCTTTGAAAGGTCAGCAGTGCCATGATCCAGCCATGGTGGCGCATGCCTTTAATCCCAGCACTGTGTTAGCAGAGACAAGCAAGTGGATCTCTGAGTTTGAGGTCAGATTGGTCTACAAAGCAAGCCCCAGGCCAACCTGGGCTACCTGGTGAGACCCTGTATGAAAACAAACAAAAAGGCAAAGCTACAAAACCAGACAGTGTTTCCTTGAGAGAATGCAAAGAAGGAAACAGCAAGGACTGGGAGCACGGAGTTGTGAGTTATTCATTTTCCATTTCAGAAGCTGTATTGAAAAGACCCCAAACCTAGACAGGAAGTGAAGGTTGTGTTTATTGAGGCGTGGAGGTGAATTACCCAGCAAGAGAACTAGTTTCAGTGGGATTCTTTCCTCTGTGTGTCACCCACTGGGGATGTGGGATTTGGCCAGTGATTTTTCTCAGTTCATTAAAAGATTGTAACAGTCAATTTAGAGTCTGATCTGAGCATGTGCAGAATAAACCTCAGTGCTTATGCACAGTTTTGGGGGCCGTTTCCCTGGAGTTCTCTTTCTAGTACTTCTGAATCCCTGGGCGGTGGTACTGCCTGTTGAACATTGGAAGGACTTGGTCCTGGTGGACCTTTGGAATTCTCTGCCCCTGCTGATGTTGCCTGCATGTGTGAGCCCCCAGTTGCAGTAGGGTATACTGAAGAGTGGGGGAAATGTTATTTCATTTTGATTTCGACATTTCCCAAGCTTTCTCTTCTTAATGTATTTAATTTTCAGAAAATAAGCCACGCCCTGTGGCAGGGCCAGAGGAATACTTATTTCTTGGCAGGAATACGAGTCGGTAGAAACATTTAAAAGGTACATTACAGCTATCAGTATATATAAAACATTTTTCTAGACTGCTAATGAAAATCTACAAAGATATCATTTGCCGCCAGTGAACAAATTTGACATTTCATGAGTCTAGGTGAGCATTGTTGTGGGGTACTCACCAGAGAAGACTGCTCGGACATGGATTTAAGTCAATAGGAAGTCTGTATTAGCCAGCCGGCTAGGTGTTCAGGACCCCAGTGTAGCACTGAGCCTTTCTCAGGGGAGTTTTTATGCACAAAACACACGTACTTCAGTTAAGAAGAACAGTTAGCCAGAAACAAAACTACAGAAGCTATAAAGCAAGATTGGTAATTTAGAGACTTTCCCAGAACTGTGTGAACTTTGATGGATTGGGTCTTTGTTTTCATTTTGGCTGGTGATGTTGTCTACGGGCTGAGTTTTACAGCCTGAATGGTGCCTCCATCATGGAGTCAGTTGTGCTAAGGTCTGGGGCCCTGTTCAAGTGTAAATGTATTCAGAGTAGTAGTCTGGTGCACTTGCATAGTGGAGGTAGTGTTTGTGAGGCCCTGACGATGAGTTACTTAGGAGCTCGTGAGGTAGACCGAAGAGGGGAGAAAGAATATACAGTGCGCTGTGTGTATGTGTGTGTGCATGCTTGCGTGTACTGTTGGTTGATTATTTGAATGTGATACTGGTGTTGTAATTTTAAATCTTTTTTATTTGATTTGAAATTTGAGAACTGAAATAAAAAACACTTGGCATCATATCATAGCAAATAAATAACTCTCTACGACTAATTAGTTAAGTGGTAGCTCTTTTAATTAAAGTGATCCAAAAGGCTAGCGTTTATTTCATTTAGTTGAATTTGCTTCTAATGCTTGAAGAAAAAAGGAGTCCCCAAATGCTCAACCGTGAAAGAAGCACAGCTACTGCCGTTCTAACCTGTAAAGTAAGACAACGGTTATCCTCATCACATCTGTATGTCTGCTGTGTGTTTCCAGAAAAAGCACTCATGCATACGCTTTCCTTCTTTCTTGGCGTGTTTAAAAAGCACTTTGGGATTTTAAAAAATAAATCCATTTGGATCTAGACTCTGCGGGTGTGTTCTTGGGAAGTCCAGTATGTTAAGGAGAAACAGAAGTGCCCATTTCTTCTGTCTGCAGTTGTCTCTTGTGTTGTTTATATGTGGGGACTCAGTGGATGTCAGGCACTTTTGCTGAATTACAAAGACATTGGTGTGTAATCTTGTATTCTGAAGGAGGAAATCCCTGTGGTTTCCTCGTGTGCTCTAATTGGCTAGGAAGCCGTAAAGTTAATTTCTGTATTTGTGAACAATAGCTATACAACTCTTCAAAAAATTCTTTTACAAATCTCTTTCAAACCACTTTTATCCTCACAACCCTCCTCCCTCAGTCCCTCTAGTGGTGGATTGCAGGCATTGCACCACCACACCCAACTCTTAATACTCTTCCTAGGGCATTTCCTATCAGATACTGCTCTCCTTTCTAAGTTGGTGGGCAGGGTAAGGGAGTAGATGTATTAAAATCAACTGTAGTAGTTTGTGAGCATAACTTCTGGGTGTGTTTTCTTTTTACAGCCGATTTATTTTGCATATTCCTAGCGAGGAACGAGATAATGCAATCCGAGTTTGCTTCCAGATTGAACTCGCCCATTGGTTTTACTTGGATTTCTACATGCAGAACACACCAGGATTACCTCAGTGTGGGATAAGAGACTTTGCCAAAGCTGATATCCTTTCTGTTGCTATAATGATCATCTCTCATTCTTTCTAATAAAATATTTTAGCACAAATTTCCATTTGCCTTTCTTATAGTTTTTTAACCTCTAGAGAAAACATAACAAAAATAGGTGTGTGGTGCACTTTTGTTTGTTCTTATTTCTTACAATACCGAAACGTGCACTGATTAGGATTGAATTTTAGAAATAACTAGCCTATTTATGAGACAGTTCTGGTTCTTACTCTTGGTGTGCCGTTTAACCAGGTGATCAGATCAAAGAGGCTGTTCTTCCTTGATAAGACACAGCTTAGTCAGATGTAGTGGTGCATGCCATTAATCCCAGCACTTGATAGGTAGACGGAGGCAGGCTAATCTCTGAGTTCAAGGCCAGCCAGGGCTACAAAGAAACCCTGTCTTGAAAAACAGATCAAAAAAAAAAATAACACTTTGTTTTAATGTAGTAGTTATAAGAGGTTTACCTGAATGTTTAAGATTATAAATTAGCCAGATGGTGGTGGTGCTTGCCTTTAATCCCAGCACTCAGGAGGCAGAGGCAGGTGGATTTGGATTTCTGTGACTTCAAGGCCAACCTGTCTACAAAAGCTAGTTCCAGGACAAGCTCCAAAGCTACAGTGAAATCCTGTCTCGAAAAACCAAAACACAAGACAAAACAAAAACTTTTCTACGTAGTCAAAAAAATGATAGGTTGTTGTATTAAATGTTCTCAGACTTTAGAAATGGGGTAGAAAGATTTTAGACAACACATTTTTAAAGGAGATACAGAGTTTCCTCTGTAGACACAAGCAAGGACTAAACAGACTTGCAGAGTTGGAAAATTCTAGAGAGCCTCTTAAATCTTGAGCAGGGTGATCTGAGTTATTTAGTGTATACAGTTCTTAGCCATCCAGTGTGTGTTGCAGTGAATATGTCTCCACTAGATCGGTGTGTTTGAGCTAGCCTTAGAGCAGGTACAAATGACCCAAAATACCAAACTAAGCTTCCAGTCACTTCCCAGATCCATAAAATTAGGGCTTCTTGGGGCTCTCTAGAAAATAGATAGCAGTGTTTTAGAGATGTTAACATGGCAAGTATTTGAGCAAGCTCATCGTGTGAAAATGAAATCCAGGATGTGGTTGGTTGGTGTCCTGAGCCATAGGCAAGCACTGGTACTTAAGAGAGGATAGGGATCCAGGCCGTGGTGCTAGGGCTCCAGAAGAACACTGTCAGAACAAGTGCTTAAACACTTGATCGAGTTGTTGTGTAGAGGTTGGTGATGCCTCAGAGAGAAATGGGATTATGTTGAGTACCACTTTAGCTGAAGGCTTGGCGACTAGTCTGTACAGACAGAAGACCTTGCTTGTAAGAGTTATAACCGAGCTGTGGGAAAATTATTAATAACAAAACCTTTGGTTTTGGTCCTCTTATATAGACTAGGTTTTTCCAAAACAGCTGTTGTCTTGAGTTTCTGAATAAGAATTCGCTCATGAGTGTACTTGTAAGTTTTATACTTAATCCTAGTGTTACAGACATCCAAAACGTGATACAGACTTTTTCTTTTTACTTAGTTATATGGGGGAGGAAGCTTTTGAGAAGGAACTCAGCTTTGTTAAATAACTGAATGGTATCTATGTGCCGGGCATTTTGCAGTGAACCAGGCAGGCTTGCCATTAGGGTCACGAGAGAAAAGAAGATGCTCGTAAAACGCATAAGAAGTAGAAGAGCGTTCAGAAGACAGAGAGGAACCATACCAGATCCTGAGAGTGACCCCTAGATCATGAAGTCATTTGATTTCTTTGGTTCCCAGTTCCTTTCTTAACCTAATAAATAATATGTGAATGTTGCCTAATCAAAGAGTAAATTTGGAAATCATGAAGGATAGGCCTGCCATCTAGGAAAGAACCAATATGTGTTAAGGATTGCGAAGAAAAATATTTCAAGGTTAGATGAGGGGAGGGGAGTCATTTTGGAAAAAAAGCATCACAAAGTGAAAAGTGAGATGTTTTCGAGTAAATGGGAGAGAGATGACGCTGGAAAGACTCCAGTGCAGTATGCAGGGGCTTGGGTGTGTCTGAAAACAACTATTGGTTTGCTTGGGAGGTTTTGTTTCATTTGTGTTGGTTTTGTTTTTGTTAAACTATTTTGGGAGAGGCAGAGTCAAATTACAGAGAAAGTGAAAGAATGTTTGTGTGTGTGTGTTTTGTTTTTGTGGTAAATCAGTGACTTTACAATTCAGATTTTTTTTTCTTTTTGGTTTTTTTTCTTTGTGTAGCCCTTGCTGTCTTGAAACTTGGTCTGTAGACCAGGCCGGCCTTGAACTCAAAGAGATCGAGATCCTCCTGCCTCTGCCTCTGCCTTTTTAGTGTTGGGACTAAAAGCATGCACCACCATCACCCAGCCAAGAATTTTTAGTGAATATAGAACCAGACTTTTACAAATATATTTATTTACTTTCTAATTATGTGTATATGTGTGTTAGGATATGCATTGGATGCAGGTGTTTAGGGAGGCCAGAAGCATCAGATTCCCTAAAGCTGGAATTACAGGTGGTTGTGAGTCCCGTACATAGGTGCTGGGAATCAGACTCAGGTCCTCCGGAAGAGCAGTATGTGTTCTTAACCACTGAGCCATCTCTCCAGCCCCTAAGCCAGACTTTTATTGGGAAGTGATTTCAGTATTTTGGTCTCTGAGGGATCACAGGTTCATAGGATGGTTAATGTATCTGGAGTAAGCCTTGAAAGCACAAAACAGTTACATGGAGATTGACTGTGTTTGTCTTTTAGTTATGATGTCATACGTGGTTGACCTCTTTGGATTTGTAGAGAGCCATTTTAGTTCTTAGTACAACCATAAAACTAAAACCTCAAAATATATTATAGCTCATGAAATTATGTTTATGATAGAAACTAACTATGCTTTCATTTTGCCCAAACGTCACTATAATTAATAGTGCTCATTTAAAGGTTCTCTTGAGTTTCTGCTCCATTTGCTATAGAATATTCCTTTTTCTCTTATCATTTGACTCTAAAATTTCAATTGTTCCTACTAGCCCATAGGAATCAAAATAGCTTAAGTGTCTGGCCCCAGAAATAAGTGGTAGTTTTCATATTTGTAGTCATCATACATAATTGAAAACATATTCATGACTCATGTTTTAGAGTTAACATCTAAATAAAAATGGGATATATAAACTTTTAGGGGCTTGAAGACCATTACAAATAGATCCTCAGATTAAGAAACTGTCCTGAATTGTGATTTTCTGCACAACCTTCATCCTGTTTTAGTGATGGTGCCTTTGATGCTTAGGGCATCAATAGACCAAGTGTACAATTTTAGAGATTGTTTTGTTGTTAATTTCTCTAGTATTTTACACTGTTCTACTTCTTAGATATATACGTAAATTTCTTCTGAAACTGAGACCCTCATTTTCCTTTATAAACTATAGTAAACTGTTAACTTAGCATGAACTATTATGAATATATGTGGTAAAGAACTTCATCAATGTAGTGTGTACCCTGTGCCTTATCCTACTCCCCAAAGTTCCAGGACCTAACTCTGTGTTCCTGGCAGGTCCTTCCTTTAGTCAAATGGAGGCCTTTCTCTCGTGCTATCGTTTTTGGTGTGCTGACTCTGGCATGGATTTGACTCAACAATGAGCATCTGAGACAGTCACGATTTCTGCCTTTGTATTCATTAACTTGGGAGTCTAGTGCTGACTATTAGAAGCATAATTTGGATTGTGTCTAGATTAAATACAAAAGCTAATGAGTTGTTCAAGGAAAACGAGTGTGCTGGGCTCAGTCTAACTTGCAAACTTGAATAATTTTATGCAAAATATAGTCGATTTAAATAAGTTTGTTTCTGTGTGTAATTTTGTGAAGTTTTATTTTAACTTCTGACTCCGTGTGAGTGTTTGTGTGTACGGGTGTCTGGGGAGACCAGAAGACCCCTTGGAGTTGAGCTGTGTGGCTATGAGCCCCAGATGTGGGCACTGGGAGCTGGACTCCGGCGGCCAGGTAGCGCTCATGAGCACTGAGCATCACTCCAGCCATTCCCTTGTTGTAGCTTCTTAGGCTGGACTAAGGGAAAGGCAGTTTCCTTAACATTCTCTATACTCTTCAGTCATTGTCCCTTTCTGCTGCCGCAAGGTGAAGATGTGGAAAAGATTTTGGATGAATGGAAGGAATATAAAATGGGAGTGCCAACCTATGGTGCGATCATCCTTGATGAGACGCTTGAGAATGTGAGTGCACTGATCTGAAGACGTCAGTGAAATGCTGACCAACTGCTTGTCAGCCATTGACTGAGGTGTTCCAACATCCTTGGATTCTTAATGTTAAAGAACTAAACTTTGGATGTCTTACCTGCACTCTGTTGTGCTTGCTATGGCTTAGTGTAAAAAGCTGTGAGTTTGTTATTGAGACAGTTTAAGTAGAAAACGTGTGTCTCTTCATGCTAGCATATTTAAAGTCTCAGAAGATGCTTGGGCCAAATGCTGTATGCAGTTTGTTGGTAAATAATTACCTGAAGTACAGAGAAAAGTATCTTTGGGGATGGAAAATGGGAAAGGAAACTGGATTTCTTTGGGGTTTGTTTTTGACTTCCTGCTTGTTTGTAGGTACTGCTGGTTCAGGGATACCTGGCAAAATCAGGCTGGGGGTTTCCAAAAGGAAAAGTGAATAAAGAGGAAGCACCCCACGACTGCGCTGCCAGAGAGGTGAGTGCCTTCAGTTGGCGGTGAGTGTGGCTGCTAGCTTGCGGAGTCTTAAGTCTCTTTTAAGCTCTGGAGAAAGCTTAGTCTTTTTCTGAAATGTGAATGCATGGTTTAACTAGAGACAGCCGTTTGGACTACAGGAGAGATGGTTAAGAGCAAGGACCTGTGTTTGATTCCTACCACTGACATGCTACCTCACAGCTATCTCTAACTCCAGTCGCAACGGATCTGATGCCCTCTGCTGGTCTTCTTGAGTACCAGGCAGGCTACTTCCTGCTGGTTGGGGACCTAAAGAAAATTTAAAATTATGATCAAGTCATGACTGGAATAAGTATCCTGTAAGGCTTGGTCATCTCAGGCAGCAGTCTTGAATCCGTTCTGGATGTAGAACTGTAACATCTGGGTCACCTGTACCTACTGGAGATTTGTCAAGTGGTCTTCTTGATCAAACCTGGATTTTTCTTAACTCAGAATGAATCCATATCCTCTCATTTTCTGTGGAAACAAAAGCAAAACCTCTTCTCCAAAGTAACATACCTTTTGACTTCAATTTTGAAGTCAAGGTATTTTCAAAGTATCTATCTTAGATTAATTCAGCAGCATTTATAAACAAATATCTTTTGGCAGCTGTTGCTCCTTCCTCAGCATTCAGACAATTCAAAGAGAGCATAACATACAGTATCCCAACTCTGTATTTTCATCTTTACGTGTCTTTGTATTAACCTCTATTTCTTATTTTTATTGTGTAATTTCTGGCTTTTTGAGACAGGGTTTTCCTGTGTATCTTTGTCCTGGAACTCCCTCTATAGACCAGGCTGTCTTTGAACTCACAGAGATCTGCCTGCCTCTGCCTCCCAACTGCTCATATTAAAGGTGCCACCACACCTTGAATTCACAGAGATCTGTCTTCCTCCTAAGCGTTAGGATTAAATGTGTGTGCCACAAAGGATATTAGATTCAGAGTTTTTACTTTGTTTTTGTTTTTTTTTAAGGGGGTAAGTGCTGTGGGACAATGGCTTGTACCCTGTCAATTGTATTTTAATAAAATGCTGATTGGCCAGTAGCCAGGCAGGAAGTAGAGGCAGGGCAACAAGAACAGGAGAATTCTGGGAAGAGAAAAGCTTGGTCTGCTTTCCTGATCTGGAAACAGAGCAATAAGGTACCGAGCCACGTGGGTTAATATAAGTTATAAGAGTTAATAAGAAGCCTGAGCTAATGGGCTAATCAGTTTATAACTAAAAAATAGTAAGGGCCAGACAATGATGGTACATACCTTTAATCCTAGCACTTGGGAGGCAGAGGCAGGTGGATCTCTCTGAGTTCGAGGCCAGACTGGTCTATATAGCTAGTTCCAGGAGTGCTAGGGCTTTTAGACCACCCCCCCCAATAATAATAATAATAATAATAATAATAATAATAATAATACATTAAAAAATAAGATACTGTCTTTCTCCCCCCTTCGCACCTTGCTTTTTGGGGTCATATCTACCTTCATTTGTTCTGTCTACTTTTAAAGCATATCTCTGGCTCTGTTCTTTATAATAATGGTGTCTTTTCTACTTTTTGCTTGAAAATTGAATGTTTTGTTTGACAGAACATTTCGACCTCTAACTGTATTCTTTGTTCTTTTATTTCTTTTTCATTATCCAGAAAAATGTAGGGTCTGGATTTTTCTAAGCATTTACATGTTTCTTCTCAGAACTCGGCCTAGCCTTTCACCTGAGCTGTAAGATAAAGTTCCGATCTTGCTCCACCCCAGCTCAGCCATTGAAAGAGTCATTCCTTAGCCTCTGAATTTGATTGTTTCTGAAGTTTGAGTGAAATTCTGCCTACCCAGACAGCCTCTTCTCTCCCTGCCAATTGAGACCCCAGCTCGGTGCCTCTCTAGATTAGTTACTTTTGTTTGATGAGACAAAGTATGTTTCAAAACCACTTGGTGGAGGAAGAATTGACTTTGGTGTTCACTGTCAGAGCCTTGGTTAATCGTGGAGAAGGCATCATTGTGGTTCTGGGCATCTCAGCTGGTGCCTGTCTATGTGCTGAACCTAGAGGCTCAGAGCGTGGTTGGTACCACGCTGGTTTAGGCTTCCAAGATCTTCTCACCTGTTCTCACCGTCCAGCTCTACCTCCTGCAGGCTCCACAGCCTCTCACATAGCACCATGAGATGGAGGCCAAGTGCCAGCATCAGCCTGTTGAGGACATCCCAGATGTAAACCGCAGCAGCATCTGAACCTGGTTCGGGTTCCTTTCCCTCTGCAGTTCTGTTGCCACACAGCCTCGAAGGAGGGAGTGGCTCTGTAAAAGGGAAATTCCAAATGGGTGAATCTCCATTCATCCTTATGTAAAATTCTCTTTTTCTGGTTAGCTCTTTAATGGTCCCTGAACCTAAACAGCAACTATTGTTTACCATTTTGCCTTTAATGTATGGAAAGTCTGCCGTTAGCTTTTTATCCTGCCCCATATTTTACCCAACCTTTGAGATTTGTTCCAGTTTAGGCTGTATTTATGTAAAAGCCTAGCTACTTCAGAAAAGCCATTTAACCACACAAATGTATTAAAGACAGTCACTTTGAAGAACTTCATAGCCAGAAGCAACATCTTAGAGTTTGGGAAAGCAGCAGAAATTTGATTTTGAGATGTTTTTGAGCTGGTGTGTTTGATGCAGTGGTGTTTACTACCTTGTTTTAGTTTGGATGTAGCTTATTAGTGAAGAAAAAAAGTTACAGCTCTTAAAAGGCACTGGTGTAGGGTCTGAGGTGTAGCTCAGTGTGCAGAGTGCTTGCTGCCCAAGCAGGAAAGCTTAGTTTGGATTGCTAGTATACATCAGTTTTTATGTGTGTGCCAGTAATGTCAGTTCAAGCAACAAATTCTTGTCATCTGCAGAAAAAAGACATAGCCAGAGCTTAACCATATTAAGTCAGACCCAGAAAGATAAATACATTCTCTCTCCTTTCGGAACCCTAGACATTATATTGGTACATTCAATCATGTGTACATAGGCAGGATATGAACAGAGTGAGTTCGGGGAATGATTGGAAATGCTGAAGGGGCTCGGGGAGAAGAAGGAAGATTGAGGTTATGAGTGTGGTCAGAGAACACTTGCATAGAATGCCTTTCAGAAAACCGCCATGGGAAGGAAGCATGCTGGGAAGAGAGGGCTCTGTAGGTAAGAGCACTTATACTCAAGCCTACGGTCCAAGTTTACATCTTCAGCACCCATGAAAGATGGGAGAGATGGGATCACAGGCTCACGAAGCAGGTGGCCTTCCCTTTGGTAGATTTTTTTTAAAGGCAAGCCTTGTTTTTTAATCCTGAATTTTAAATGATTGCCTTTGCCTAAAAGCTTAGGGAGTTGGGTGGAAGGTTTAAAAAAAAGTAAAGGTACTGTTTACTTTGCTTGAGTTGACTTACAACTGACAGGGTAGTTTAAACTGCAGAATTTATTTCCTTGCAGATCTGGAGACTAGAGATCCAAGATTAGAGCTCCAGCTAGTTGGATTTTATTGCAGACCTTCTTGCTTGCTTGTAGGAATCTAATTTCCAGTGGTGTGTCCACGTGGGCTTTCCTGGGTATGTTTGGGTATTGTCCAGAGAACTGTTGTGGTCTTTTCTTAACCAAAATCGGGGTTATATGGTTAAGAACCTCATTTAACCCTTATTACCTCCAATAGCCCCTCCTCCATATAGTCACAACGGTTACAACCTAGAATTTGCTTGTTTGTTTGTTTTGAGACAGGGTTTCTCTAGCTCTTCACTCGATAGACCAGGCTGGCCTCAGACCAGAGATTCGCCTGCCTCTACCTCCAAGTACTGGGATAAGGGCTTTTGCCAGCATTACCTGGCCATCAGCCTAGAAAATTTTAAGGTTGTATTCATGCAGTTGCCTTTTTTTTTTTTTTTTTTGAGTGTTTCACCTAGGAGTACTAGAGTGGCAGTCAGTCCTTCTGCCACTTGGTGGCGCTACAGTGTAAGGCAGGCAGCACTGTCTGAAAGCAGTCCAGAAGTCCTGGCTGATAGGTAGCCAGATTGTTAGCAGTCCTTTGCCTATAGTTTATCCCTGTTTAATCTGTTCAGTTTTTACTTGTCTTAGCATTACATTGGGGGGGGGGGGGCTTTATCCTAATTTTCTAGCTACGGGTTAGATTTAGGATGATGTCTTCGTCTGTTTTGTTTTGACACCATCTCAATCATGTAACTAGCTACCCTTGAACTCGTCTTCCTGCCTTACTCTCAAATGTTTAAAATCCAATATTTTGTCCACATTTATTTCCAGGTCTTCGAAGAAACTGGTTTTGATATAAAAGACTATATTTGTAAGGATGATTACATCGAACTTCGAATCAATGACCAGCTTGCTCGCTTGTACATCATTCCAGGAGTTCCAAAAGACACAAAATTTAACCCCAAAACCAGACGAGAAATTAGGGTATGTAAGAGTTAAGAATATTTGTGGGTTGCTAAATAGAATCGCGATTGAAAGGCACGGGGGTGGTTTTAGCTACTTTTGATGGTAATCAGCTAGATGCGATTGTCTTGTTTCAGAACATTGAGTGGTTCTCCATTGAGAAGTTGCCTTGTCACAGAAATGACATGACGCCCAAGTCCAAGCTAGGCTTGGCACCTAATAAGTTTTTTATGGCCATTCCCTTTATCAGGTATGTTTATTTCTTCAACTGTAAAACTGTCCTTGGTGCTGCTCTTTATTCCAGGTTTGTTTGTTTGTGTTTAATGAATTGTTCATGTTTCCATAGACCATTAAGGGACTGGCTGTCTCGAAGATTTGGAGATTCCTCGGACAGTGACAATGGTTTTTCTTCAGTTGGCAGCACACCATCTAAACCCACTGTGGAAAAGTTGAGGTACAGAAATGTCCTTGTGAGACGGTGGCTTTCTGGGGTGTTCAGTCTAACACCGTTTGCTTCTTGAGTCAGAGCAGCTTGAGAGCCCTAGAAGCTCTGTTGTGTCTTCAGTTTCTGTCGTAAGTTAGTCTTTAGAGGTTTCTGCTAAGATGAAAGGGGCTAATTCGTGGAAAGACACTTCAGGCATGTTTTAAAATAGTCCACTCGAGAGGACATCAACTTCAGAATAGCAGGAAAAGGAGAGGAGTGTGTGTTGAAGATTTAGTTTCTGGAGGTGATTGAATGGGGTGCGTTGAGGTCTCTGCTACACAGGAGGCGGGAGATGCTGCTGAGTAATTTGTTAGAGTCGGTGACAGCTGTTTGGACTTTTTACAGAATTTTGCATGCAAATGAATGTGTATGTTCATGTAGGTGTGTGGCCGCATGTGCACATGAGGAGGTCTAAGATTGGCCTCTGGTGTGTTGATTCATGACCTCTCGCTGGCCTGGAGTTCTCAGGATTATGCCTGTCTTGCCTCCCCAGCTGTGGGATTACAAGCACACATCACCAAACTGGGCTTTTGTCTGTGGGTTCTGGGATCTAACTGAGGTTCTCGTGTTTGTACAGCAAGTACTTTACCGAGTGAGACCTCTCCCCAGCTTGCTCTCAGCTGTGCTATGAAGAGGGTCTATTAATTACATGGTGTGGACTGTCATTGACATTTACTGGTTTGGAACTCGGTACAGACTTGGAAAGTAACTTCGTTAAGTGTGTATAATATAATTTTATTAAGTTTATTTTGTGTAGGTGTGTACATAACACGGTGTGTGCATGTTTGTGTGTGTGTGTGTGTGTAGAAGACAATTTGCAAATAGTTCTCTTCTACCATATTGGGTTCCTGGGATCGAACTTAGTCATAATAAGCCTTGGCAGCAAGGACCTTAACGTATGTTTTCTCATTAGACTTGGTATATGATCTCATAAGCAGCTTGCTATAAGTTTTTTTTTTGTTTGTTTTTTTTTTTTTTTGCCAGAGTTGTAGTTTTACTTTGCTTCTTGTTTTACTTTTTTTTTCTAATTTGGTGATCTTTTTAATCTAGGATTTTAATATTTAAAAAAGCAATAAGACTATATCACATTTATGGTTATAAATTTTAAATAGGTGCTATCCTATTTGTGTTGGTTTTACAAGGAAAAGACATTGGATTAAATATCTCAGGAATCATTCTGTCTTTCAAAATTTATAATAATTATAATTATAAAGACACACTAATAGAAATAAGTGAACAGTATGGCAGAAGTCAGGAAGACGAGACTATAGCCCAGAGTATAAAAGCAGCTATTCCCAAGAAGTCGTAAGTGGTGGCTGTGCATGGCTGCGGAGGTCTCCAGCAGCCTGTGCTCGAGTGTCTGCTCTTGTTAGGAGCAGAGGTGATTGTGCAGGCTTTAGCTACTTTTTATACTTCCTTTAGAGGCAGCATTCTTTTCAGTCCTACCGTCTGTTATGTTGGAGGAAATGTCACTGTTTTGCCTTTTGAAAAGGTAGAATTACGGAAACATATCCTAGTTTGACTTTTAAAAATACTTCGAGACAGGGTCTCACCTGTAGTCCAGACTGGTCCAGAACTCAGCATATAGACACTACTGGCCTCGAACCAGCAGTCCTCCTGCTTCAGCCTCTCGAGTGTTCTAATTAGAGTCTGGAGCCATCAGATCCAGCTCTGTAAGTTTTACATGGAAAAAGGAATTCTGACAGGAGTCTGATAATCTTATGTTCTTTAGGGTTCTGCGTATATGCAGGTGTGGGGTGGGATGCTCCAGGGTGAAATTCTCTAGAGTAGTGTGTATGTGCAGCAGCAGTCTTCAAATGAAACATTCTTCCTTAGAAGGCTGTGTGTGCGTGTGTCTGTGTGTGTGCGCGTGTAGGCCTGCAGCGGTCAGAAGACAACCTTTTGGAGTCAGTTCTCTCCTTCGGCCATGGATTTCAAAGCTTCAATTCAGACCATTAGGCCTGCACAGGGCGTGATTCTACCTGCTGAACCAGGTCCTAGTCAGTCTCCAGATCAAGTGTTCTAACAGAGGACAGACAGTCCAATGATGGGCTGATTTGATGCATACGTGCTGGGGTGGTGGAAAACACTGAACAGGCCACAGATACCTCAGACTTCTTGCATATGGGGCTTTGAGGTATCTCCTGGTTCTACACATTCAGAAGTCTTTACCATTGCAGTATTTTGTATCTCCTGTGGTTTAAGCAGCTGTGCTCTGGAAAGTAACCTAATTTACATATAACATTGGTAGGGGCTGTAACCAACCTATTTATCAGATCCCTTACTGAGCCATCTGGAAAGAATGCACTATCCCATTAAAAAGAAAATTCACATACATCATTTCACTGCTTCAACTAAATTTACAAAGAACTGTCTTTTGATTTAAAGAATATAATTACTTATAGGGATGGTATGGTTTGAATAATTCAGAAAGGATAGGTTGTTAATGTAAGAAAAATTCATTAGCACCAATATAAAATATAGCTGGCAAAGCTGATCAGAATCTCTGCTTTACCTGGACATTTAGGTACATAACTTTAATACCAGCACTCAGAAGGCAGAGGTAGGAGGATTTCTGAGTTTAACGGTGGCCTGGCCTACAGAGCAAGTTCCAAGACAGCCAGGACTACACAGAGATACTGTTTAAAAAAACGGGGTTTTTCCTGCTTTTATAACTTAAGGAATTGTGGGAAAAGGTAAATGATTTATAAAAAAGTAAAATATATAGTTGTTAGGTTGGTTAAACTGACGACTTTTAAAGAGCTGCAAGTGGAAATCTCTTCTTATTTTTTAAACCTTGGTGTAGTCGAACAAAATTCCGCCACAGCCAGCAGCTGTTTCCTGAAGGTTCTCCTAGTGACCAGTGGGTAAAGCACAGGCAGCCGCTGCCGCAGAAGCCACATGGTAACCACGCAGAAGGAGCGTCGGACCCTTTCAAAACAAAGGTGAGGGCGTCACTGAATCCTTCCACATGCTTTGATTATTCCACTTCGAAATCATTTTCAGCAGAGGAATTATGTGTACTGTTTAGAAGAATTCTGAATTGTTGAGCAGTTGCCCATGGTCCCAGCTTGTGACTTGAACAGACCTGAGACTCATTATCCTTCATAGTCTTGGAATAAATCCAATGTGGTAAATAATGGGATGTTCCTCTTGAGCCTCTTTATGCATGCTGCCAGTGAGAGACTCGAAAACAGACAATTTCTGAGTTAAGGTTGATAGGATCTATTGTTATAGAAAAAAGCAACGTGTATTACATAGTTTTACTGTCGTATTATATGGTAGGTGATTATACCTCAGTTTCTTATTGTTCACTTAATGAACATTTTATTGGTTTCCAGATTGTTGCCTCAAGAACAATAGCCACTCAAAAGTTCTATAAAGCCCAGCCTTGTTCTAAAACACTTGACCAAACCCTTTTCTCAAGAAGTTCAGATGGCTATTAAGTATGGAAAGACTCACAGTGTTTGTCATTGGGAAATAGAGATCAGTTATACCTCAGGATGGCTGTGGTAATAAACCCAACAGAACAGAAATCCATCAGTGTTGGTGATGGTGCAGAGAACTAGGACCCCTGCACTGTGCTCTTCGAAGTGTAAGGAGAGGTGGCTGCTGGGAAAAGGATCGGTGATCTCCCACCAGTTAGACGGAAGATTATCACGAGTCCACACCCCCACTCCTACATATATAAGCAAATGAACCAAGAACGGCCTTAAAGGATAATGTCATCCTAGGGCTAATCACAGCTGCATATAGTCACAACACATAGATGGATGAATAAAGGTGTCATGTTCGTGCCCTGGACTGTTTTCCGTCATTAATAAGTAAATTCTGAGACATCTACAGTATTCGTGATCCTTGAAGACAATGGCTAAGTGAAATAAATCAGAGGCAGAAACTGTAGTTCTGTGACGTGTCCCTAAGCATAGGCAAATCCATACGCACACAAGGTGTGTGTGCTAAGTAGTGATTATGGCTGGAACTAGCGCAGACTTCAGAGTAGTCACCCGACAGAGCAGCACACACCCTTAATCCCAGCACTTGGGAGGCAGAGGCAGGCTGGTGCATCTCAGTGAGTTCAAGACCGCCTGGTCTACAAAGGGAGTTCCAAGAAAGTCAGAGCTATTACACAAAGAAACCTTGTCTCGAAAAACAAACAACAACAACAAAAGAATTGTTCCTTTTTATTGGCAACAGAGTTTCTCTTTTGAGGGTTTAAAATGTTTGGAGAGCGGGAGAAAAACAGCAGCAGAAAAGCTACTGGTATGGGCTAAAGTGAGTATTGCTAGTGTTGACAAACATCCCGTCTCTGCCACTGAGGTGCACATCAGAATGGCAGCAGGAAAGGAAATACTGCCAAGAGACAAATGGAGCTTAAGTTGAGAGTGTGGTGCGTGAGCTCCACCGTCTGTCCTTTTCAGCTAGGTTTACTGTTGGTCAGTTATTTCAGCAATGACCTCCTGTTCTCTGTGGCTGAGTAGGTGGAATGAAGACCAGCATTTTTTTTTTTAAGTAATAGTTACATTCATTAGTCACAGTTCTCTCAAATAGCTGTTTTTCAAGATCTGAAGGAGAAATTGGTAGTTGAAAAGGTTGTGCCTAAATTTAAGACTAAAAGGCCCAAGTTTCTAAAACACTGATCTTCATTATTTTGTGAAACATTTATCTGTTTATTTTAATTTTCTGATATCTGATGGTCCCTACTGCATAATTTATACTATTAAGAGCTGTAGGGGCCAGCAAGATGACACTCCCTGCAGTGGCCTCATGGCCCAAGTGTGATCCTGAAACCTGTGTAAAGGTGAAAGGAGAGAACCTGGTCTGCACAGTGTCTCTGACTGGCACCCACGTTGACTCACAGCCCCGTACACATGCACAATGTCAAATAAGCTTAAAGGAGAAAAGCAGGCTGCCCGGGTGCCCTAGCTGCCTTCCCAGCGCAGTTTCTGCCTCTGCTCCCATTCCTTTATCTTTGTGCTGGAGCTTGACTCTGGGGCCTTGTGCTCTGTGTGAGCTTTACCTGGGCTTCTACGCTGCCATGTTTGTGCATTGTAAACAGTTTATAAGCATGGATACAGCAAGAGGTGTGGAAAGGACCTAGGGAATGGTGCTTTGCTGCTCCCTGTTTCCGCTGTTCCTTTGCAAAGCAGTCGTCTAAGAAAGTACATTGATAAAGCAAATGTGTAAACATTTAGGTGATGTTTTATGAACTCTGTTCAATTGAGATAAACATTCATAGAGGTATATTCGTGTTGTTGTACCATGAATTTACATGTTCTTTTTACTGGAAAAATAGAATCAAAATATGAGAGGGAATGGCAGGAAACAGTATCAAGATTCACCTAATCAGAAGAAAAGAACAAATGGAGTTCACAGTCAACCAGCAAAGCAACAGAATCCCGTGATGGTAAGTTCCGGGTGAGGTGCCTAAGGGACTGCTCTCCTTGAGAATGGACCGGGTGTCTCCAGACACAATAATGTTGGCTTAGTTCTTGTTTTTATTTGATAAATTTTAATGATAGAATTTTAATAAAATTGAGTTCTTTATTGCCTTCATGAACTAAAACGTAAACCTCCCTTTGGCCATTCTTAACTACAGGCCTAGAATAATTGGGTACACTTCTACTTTTTGCCTTGTGTGGTTTTTTACATTTACTTTAAAGCCTTAAAAACACTATATAGTAAAAAACAAGCAATTCTTTTTTTCTGAAAACCCATTGTTCAGGGGCCTGAAGGAATGGGTCTGTGGCTAAGGACATCTGCTATTCTTCAGAGGCTAGATTTGATCTCTAGCTCCCAAAGATCTCATGCAATGTCCTGGCTTCCGGAATTCACACACCATACACAAACATACACACCACATGCACACACACATGTACGTCTTTTAAGGGATATTAATTAATTTTGTGTATTTTACTGGATTCATAAGAATATAGATATTTATGGGGTGCCATATGTTTCAATATATGAGTACATTGTATAATGTTTATGGTGAAAAAATTTAGCCTGATGTGCAGGCAGAGTGCTTAGGAGGCTTAGGCCTGAGGAACTCAAGCTTAAGACAAGCCTGGGATACATAATAACTCTGAGGCCAACCTGGGGCAGAAGGAGACAGTGGTTGACACTCCTAGCTTTTTGAAGTATAGTCTGCAGTGGTGTTCATAGTTGTGCTACTGTGTAGCACATCAAGCTTTCTTAACCCATCTAGCTGTAACTTAGTCATTGAGCAGCCTCTTCCTGTCCTTCAGTCTTCCCTACCCTCAGCTTTGTATCCACCATTCTACTCCATTTCTTTCCATGAGATCGTCTGGTGCTGTCATTCATTGTTGCAATGCAGTTACAAATTTAGAAGTTTTCTCAACAAGAGAGTTGAGTGTCTTTAACTTTTCTGTTAGTGTATGTTGGATTTTTCTATTTCATTTGTTTGCTGTGTCTTTAAGAAAGTGAGTTATGGCACACGCCTTTAATCCCAGCACTCGGGAGGCAGAGGCAGGTGGATGTCTGTGAATTCCAGGACAGCCAGGGATATACAGAGAAACCCTATCTTGAAAAATCAAAAAACAAAACAACAAGATAAGTGAGTTAAGTTAGTAACTTTAAACTTAAAGGGGGTGGGAGACTAGTTAGGGTTACTGTTGCTGTAATAAAACACCATGACCAAAGCAACATGGGAAGGAAAGGGTTTATTTGTTTCACTCATGGTTCCAAATTAACTCAGCAGAGAGTTAAGCCCTGTGCTTGTTGGAAAGGATTGTTGCTTGCATCCAGTTACACTTAAAAGGTTAGAACTCTGGGGAATGTAGTTTACTAGCAGAGCTCTTTGTGCCTTGCATACGGCAGGCCCTGGGTTTGGTTGCTAGCACTAGGATAACGGGAGAAGCTGTGGAGCAGTGCTCTGCCTTTGAAGGTGAAAAGGCTGTACGCTGAGTGTTGTTCATAACCATTACTTCTGGGTCATGATAGGTAAGGAAGTTGGTATATATTCCAAACTCTTCAGAAGCTGAGCTTTAAGGAAACCCACTGGGGAGATGATTAGATTCCTGGTTTAATTTTCTTCTTGAGATGTTTGATCGTGTATCTCTTGAGTTTTAATATGTAAAAATAACAAGTCTGTGCTGTGTGTCTGTTTTCAATAGAAATGTGAAAAGAGGCTGCATCCACGGAAACTTCAGGACAACTTTGAAACAGGCAAGCCTTTTCCTCTTTCTTTCTTTCTTTCTTTCTTTCTTTCTTTCTTGTTAATTGTCATGTGGGGGGCTAGGTTTGATTTTTGGAGCTGTGACATCATTGTGCTTTATGGTAATGGTAGTTACACAGGAAGAGCTGCCTGTGTACTACAGAGATGTCAAGTGTTGTATTCTCAGTAGACACTGGATGGAAGGACGTTACTCACTGTTGAACATACTGTTCCTTTTGTAAACACTCAAGTCCACTTGAGTGTGTGCTGTGAACGCTGGCCTGTGGGCTATGGGAACGGTGTGATGAGGAGGCTGCCTCGTTCTCACCCTGCTGTTGTAGTGAAGTGCTCCTAAGTGCGCACCTCTTACCTAAATGATGCCGTTTCTCCTTCAGTAAGGGATGCAGTGTGTCTGGTTTGGAAACTGTGTTAGTCACTGTTCTATTGCTATGATGAGACACCATGACCAAAGCAGCTCTCTTAAAAGGAAGCTTTTAATTGGGGGACTTGCTTGCATGGCAGCTCGCAGTCAGACAGGATGCTGGAGAAGTGGCTGAGAGCTTTACATCCTGATCTATAAACAGCAGCCCGAGAAAGACTTTGGACTGAAGTGAACTTTTGAACCCTTAGAGCCCACCCTCACAGGCCACACATCTCCTGATCCTTGCAAACACTTCTCCATCTGGGGACCAAGCATGGAAATACGTGAGCCTGTGGATGTCATTCTCATTCAGACCACCACAGAAACTTACAACAGATACAGAAAGTATTTTTAATGCTAATGACATCTGATTAATAGATGTCATTTTAAAGTATAGTACACTATCAGTCTCAATTTGAATAGTAAGAAATTTCTTTGTGTCACTGTTACATATTCATCTAAATTGATAGCTTTTATACTGAAAACTCGGAAGAAATGAACACTGGATGGTGGTGCACGCTTTTAATTCCAGCACTTGGGAGGCAGAGGCAGGTGCATCTGTCGGAGTTTGAGCCGGAACAGCCGGGGCTACAGAGAGAAACCCTGTCTTAAACCAAAAAGAGAAAAAGAAATGAAGAGCATTGTTTTCTTTATTTTAAGTATTATATATTTATTTAAATACTATAGGACAGTTTTCAGATGCAAATCCACTAGTGACTCATTGATGGCAGTCCTGAGATGGCTAAGCTGCTTACCTCCATCTGTGCCGAGCCAGGAATGGAGTTCAAAATCACCTCTGCAGCTGCCAGAGTTGACTTTTAGTATCTTGACTTAACTAATCATTAAAAAATACTTAAAAGAGATGTTCTGTGTCTGGGAAGATAGCTCAGTGGGTAGAAAGACCCAGGTTCTGATCCATAAAACCCATGTGTATCCAGACATTGGTAGTGCAGATATAATCCCAGTGTCCCTGTAGCAGGATGGGAAGCAGGGACTGGATTCCCAGAAGTCTCTGGTCAGTTAGCCTGGCCATGGCTGTTGCATAAACAAGAGGCCCCATCTCAAAGTGGAAGGCATGGACTGATACCGGAGTTGTCATCTGACTTCCACGTGTGCGCCATGGCCTGTCTGTGCCCGTGCTCCCAAGTGAATGAAGTTACTGTTATCTTTTAAATGTGGGGCTTTCACTAGTGTTTTAATTAGTGTGTAAACCCCTCACCCACCCTTTGGCTTTTGGTACTGTATTTAAAAGAAAGGCATTGCTGAGACTGATTGCCAAAAAGCTTTTGAGGTTTTCTTTTGGTCTGTTGATGACTTGGTAAACTACAACCGTATTTTCCTAATCTTTACAGCCCCTCTCCCATTGTAATTGTAATTTTCATGGTATTTTCATATTGGCCTTTGTCAAGAAACTCTGATTACTCCGGCACTAGTACAAATACTGCTAACAATCTGCCCGATTTGAAAGCAAGGGGATATCAAGGGTCTTAGAGCACAGAGGTTAAGAATCTGAATTAGTAGAAATAAGCGTGGTGGATAAGAGACTCCATTGAATACTGAGTGGGGTACTTTGGATTGAGGCAGCTGTTAGAAAAGTAAACATAGGTGTGCCTGAATTGCCCTCTGTGAGTAGGTGGAGGGCAGTGTTTGGTAAACTTTCAGAGTTACTGACTACTAATTTTGTTTCCTGATCAGATGGAGCATTTGAGTTGCCTTGTTCTGGTGAAGACCCCTCGGTAGAGCCTGTTGAGGGACACTCTGTGGCGTGTAATGGACATTGCAAGTTCCCATTTTCATCCAGAACCTTTCTGAGTTTCAAGTTTGACCAAAATGCTATAATGAAAACCTTGGACCTTTGATAGCAGCAAGTGTATTGCAGAAACCCGTGGTCAGAGACCTGTTACGTTTGCGTGTCTCCTCAAGCCTTACCTTTCTCAGGTATCTGAAAGAAATGCAGGGAGGCAGTTTCTAAAGAGATTTTCTGCACAGAAGAGAAACTATAAAGAAACACCAGTTTGCACTGTAAATGAAGTTAGGACTTTTTTACATGGATTTACCATTTCAGTGTTTGCAACCAAGTTTTAGTGGCCTTTGCTTTTTGTCTTTTCCTTTTGAGGGCATTTATTTTGTCTTCTGATCAAGAAAAGAGTTGTTGATTAACTCATCAACTAGTACGTTAGTAGGAGTATTTCATCTCCCCATCTTAGTGATTGCATTGAGTTTTCTTCTTAAATTTTAAAAGAAACATAAATCCCCAGTTATTAATGAGCAGTTAGAGCTGAATCGTGACATGAGGATTGCAGGCCTTTGCTCATTTCTCTGCTTCTGAGAATCTAATCCTTCTATTTGGAATTTGTCAGTTTATTTAGAACCAGCATCTTCAAAACGATACTATTTTGCACAGTGAACTCTTGAGCACTTCATCAGGACAAAGTCCACAGCCTGAAGAGAGATTGAGTCGATGAGAGTTGATGCTGTAATTCTGAGCTCTGATGTATGCTGTCAGAAAACCTATGCCTGCTGGAGCAGAGAGCATGGAAGCCAGTACCTGGCAGTTACTTTGGGTCATGCCTTGACCATCATGCCTCCAGCTGTTCAGTATTGTGCAATGATTCTGCTCATGTGAAGTATCTATACATACTCTAGAGTAATTATGTGTGGAAAACTACATCTTAGTTTTATCTTGCATCTCAGTGTTGAGCTGTGAAAACTGATGTTATATTAGGTTCCAGTTTGCTGTAATAGCAGAGTGACATGCTTTTTTATTAATATCTTGAAGCCCCTGGGTTATAAATTGAGAAAAGAAGGGGTTATGCAATGTACTCAGTACAAATAAATAAAGCATGTTGCTGGGGGACCCTTTAAGTAATGTACTTAGCTCACACCTAGGAATGTATTTTGTATTTTGCTCCTTCAGGATTCTTAAATCCAAACAAGGATGACAATGCCCATTTTACAAAGGGTCGCCTGGAACTGAGGACAATCACCAGAGCTTTAAGGAGGCAATAGCATTTTGGCTGCATCTGACCTCGCTGAGAATATTTCCTGGGGGTGGGGGTGGGGTGTTTGAGTGCATGTGTGTCCGTGCATCTGTCTTGTGGGTTTTTTAAAGTTGTTTTTTTTTACAAGTGGTATCCACAAAGTATATCTCTGCTTATAAATATTACTATAGAAATCTTTATTCTGTATATGTAGCCTATTTAATAGGGCTTCTCCTTAGCCCCTCAGAACTTTGAGAGGAAGGGCTATTAATGTAAGAAATTCACTTGGTATTACTACATTGCTTTAGCTTTTAAATGGCTGGTTTTAAAGAAGAAATTCTGTTTATTAATGAAAGTGTCACTCTTTTGGTGCTAAGCAGGAGAGTTCACAATGATACAGTGTGTCTAGAATCTTCTATGCTACTACTGTGTGAATCCTTCTGTGACCTTTGCTGTTTAATGCATTATATGATTGTGTTTGGAAGCCCTTACTATTCTTGTCAGAAATACGGCTGCTTTGGTTGGGTCTTCTTGAGCCATATTTATAGTTGTCCCAGCATTCCAGATTTCTGTTAAGTGGTTAAGGGGTGGAAACTTAGTTTACTCAGCAGGTGAGTCATTTCCACTCATGCACTGTCGCCTGGAAACCGTGTGTGTGTGTGTGTGTGTGTGTGTGTGTGTGTGTGTTTCAGAGAGAGAGTGTCTTATTCTTAAATGAGTATTTTGGTCAGTCCCTCCAGTGCCTGTAGAGGTTGGATTTTTCAGCTCTCTGTACTAAAGCAGAAGTGACTAGTTAGCAGAAGTATGGCCTCTAAAGTGGCCGGCTGTAAGAACCAAGAAATGCTGCACTGCTTCATTTCCTGCCCTGTGGGACAAAGCAAGGGGCTGGCCGGGACGCAATTCGAATAACTTCGGGCTTTGCCTCTCACAGCAGTCTGTTAAAAACATGCTGGAAGAAGACTTAAGGTTTGTATGTCTAGTGTGACTCAGCTATGCAGAAGATGTTAAGTTGTTTTACCTTGTTAGTGTATATCTGCTATGCTTACTCCTTCCCTGTTCAGGTTATCTGAGAGACCGAGTTTAGCACAGGACTGGATTTCTTCTCTGAGCTGTGTTAACATTTCTTCATAGAATCTGGTGATGAAGATGCCAAATATGCAATGATGTACGATGCTAGATGGAACAGTAGATATGTCAGCCTTATTATGTTTTGTGTATTTCCTGGGTGAGACTTTGAAATTGCTTTGTAAACATCCTTAGGACCCAACCCGCATGTGTTCCAAGGTGCAGTGCGCTGTGAATCTTTTTAAGTCTAAGATTGTAGGTGCTTTTATGTCTAACTTCAGTGATTTGAAGAATGTTAAATAACTTTGTCCTGAACCATTTTACTCCAAGAGACAAAGAAGACAGTTTACATGCTTTCTGTAAGTTTTGTTTAGAGACAGTGAATGAACGACTCTAGTATTTTAAACAGTGATTCCGTCCTGAGACATGAGGGACCTGAAAAACCTAGCAGACCTGGTAACATGGGTGAAATTGATTAAACACGTTGAAAGATCTAATTAGCTTTTTGTACCAATACACAAAAAAATGGTCTCCCAGCACTGTCAGGAATTGTGGTCACTACTTGCTGTTCTGACCTTTGAATATCATTATTTTTATATTAAATATTAATTAGTAATTACATATTATGGAGCTATATAGCAGATTAATATTATGCTATAAGACTTGGCTGTGCTATTTCTTTTGGCGGTTCTAGTAATTTACATGTACTGTCAATAAAAAACTGCAGATCTTAGAAAATGGCTGTAGGAATCCAGTTCCTTTATCGAGCACCGTGTTTTCTAAAAATGTCAAGAACTGGTACCTGTGTGCATTTAAAAATGTTTTATCATCAAGTCCCTCACCTAGCAGTCTGATCTTCTAACATTAGTTAAATAAGAAGGAGAGGGAGGGACCTAGACATGATCATTTGCTGGGCAGGTTTTCTTCCTGTGGTCACTGTGACCTTCCCTAGCTGTGAACTTCCCTTCTTGGGGACTTTAATGACAACAGTTGTGTCTGTGTTCTCTGAGGCAGTATTTTCTTTGTGTTGTATTAACACTTCCTCCTGGCTTTAAGTTGGATGATTGTGTAGCCTGAGAGAAGAAGTGCAGATGTGTTGTGACTCGAAGTGACCCTCAGCAAAGGAGACCACAGACCACTATTGTGTCTAAAGGTATTATCACCTCTGTGTATCTGGTGTTGTCTTTACAGTTTGCTGAAGCTGGGTCAGAGCGGTGTCTTAACACTATAAAATACATTTGTATGGTTTCCTAAAAATCTAGAAATGTCCTCCACATCTTTTTCTCTCAATATATAGAATTGGGTTGTTCCTGAAGCCTGTGTCAGAAGGTAGCAGATTGAGATCAGTAATCTGAGATTTGTCAGAAGTAGGTTGCCATTTCCAACAGATGCTCTGCAGAGCCCAAAGGGAAAACTACTGAGCATCGCTAGCAGTTGAGTGTTTTCATGATGTTCCAGGTGAGAAGTGTGGCCGGTGCCCAGCCCGAACAGTCAAAAAGTACTGACCTTCCCAGACATTTTCTACTCCGCAGTCAAGTGTTGTAAGTATGATTGCCAAGCAATCCATTGATTCTAATATAATTTTTCTCACTTTAAGGACTAGTGTTTGGGTCCTTTCTGTTGATTCTGCAGAGCTGCAGGCATTCTGGATTTTATTTTTAATTTTTTATTTAATTTTTTAATGTCTTTTAATGTTTCACCTGTGTATGTATGTGTACCACACATGTGCCTGGTGCCCAAGGAGGCCAGAAAAAGAGTGTCGGATCCTCCTGGAACTGGAGTTGCTGTGTTGTTGGAAATGGAACCAGGTCTTTTTGATAACAAGATAGCCCAGAGTGTGGCACAGTCACTGCACGTGGGTGTGCTGCCAGCAGTTTCCTGTGACAAACAGCGGTCGTTACTGAGGTACTTCATAGCTGAGGGAAGTGGAAGCCTCCGTCTACTCAATGCATAGAACTGGCTTGGCTGTAAAGGCATTTCTATTAACTTGGTGCTGAGAGGGCTCTTGTTTGTGTGGGTTTCCTGTGTACTTCGTATTGGGTTAAAGCTTTAAGGCTTTACTTTTGGAATTTTCACAACAGAATATCTAATTTGAAGTCAGCAATAGAGAGATTACATTTATCTTGTCTGTGTGGCAGAAGCATGGGTTCTGTCTCTGGTAGCTGCATGAAAGCACAGTCTAAAAGGAATTCACCTCAACATAGTGATTTGGGCAGTTTTGGGTCAAGGGTTCTGGGGAAAGAAATGACAGAAGTCAGCTTCAGGGTGTGACTTGGTCTTAGTGGACATGGGTTTCTCAGTGGGAGCTAAGACCCCCAGTGTTTGCTGCAGGGTAGTTTTCCTTGACTTGTTACTAGCTCGTTTGTTGAGTGCCATTTTTTGAGCATCTGTTCAGTAATCAGTCTTTTGTTTGGGCTGTATCTCTTACTGCCTCTGACACCATGAGATTTTGCCATAACTTTAACTCTTGAGCCTCAAGCAGCTAGAAGGGCTCTGCTCCCTCATGTCAATGTATATAACCGTGAAGTTGTGTGGGAGCAAAGAAAACACTTCAGTGTAGTTCTAGAATGAAATGGGCAACATTTCCTAGTCCTTAGTTCTTAGTGAGCTTTTACAGGAGGTCATATACTTTCTGCTTGTAATTATTTGATCCAGATGTCTAAAACAATAACTCTAGACTGGATTGGGATACAACTGTACATTTTAAAGCCATTTCTCAAGCTTTAAGACATTAGCACAGAGGTTGCCAACTGGGAGATTTAGAGAGCTGGCAGAGTTGCAGTCATGCGTCTGGAGCATGAGCAGTGGTGTGCCTGTACACGCAGCGTGCAGGAATGTTCACTGCTGTTCATGTAGCCCATTCTGCTTTGTTTGAATATTGGACAAGTAACTGTAAATGCTAGTATCCAAGGGAATGAGCCTTTCATTTCTGCATTTTGTTTCAAATGAGGACAGTAGACAGCTAAGTTCCATTGTATAAATATAAATTTTTTTCAGTTTAACAAATAGGGAATAATAGTAAAACCCTTAACTTTGCTTTAACCTTTAAGAGCTATTTTTTTTTATGTTTGCCAGTTAGTTTTAAATCTTACAATAGTTTTAAAATGAATGTTGACTTACTAGACCTATGTCTGTTGGCTTCAATGAAACCATAATGAATCTTAATATCTTTAGCTATTTTAAGTGATTTTCTCTTAATTAAGATGTTCCTAAATCAGGCCAGGCGTGGTGGTGCATACTTGTAATCCCAGCACTTGTGAGGCAGAGACCACCCTGGTCTACAAATCAAGTTCCAGAGAAGCCAGAGCTATACAAAGAAACCCTGTCTCAAAAATAAATAAATCTATAAATACAAGATCATCTTAAATCTAACAAAAATGAAGTATATAGTTTAGTTTGGGCCCAAAGGTGAATCCTAGTTGTGTAGCTTTAGCACTGTTTATACTATGCTGTGAAGACCTGGTGTTCCTGGACAGTGCGGGCTCAGAACAGTCTGCTTGTGTGTGAGTTTGTCTGGAAAAAGTGAATGGCATGCTGGGTCATAGAAGCTGGCCACACAAGCTTTACCTCATTAAGGGTGTAATGTTCACTAGAAAACCTGGGCTTTAGAATAAATAATTTGTAAATTTGGTTTCTTCATGAATTGGTTTTGTCTTATGTTAAATGATTTAACATTTAATCTTTGCTAACTTACAGCTGTATTTTATTGCTTGACATTAGGGTGCTTTCATACGGGAAAGATGGTGTAAACTCCTACATGATTATGTCTGTGGCAGTATGAAAGTTATTTTGTGGTTAATAGCCACACATTTAGGGAAACCAAAAAGGAACCCCTAAAGTAGCCTGTTGGGTTTGTTGTGGTGTGACAACAGCCTCTAGAGCTGGATTTATTCAGTGACACCTCTACCCCACCGCCTCCCTCAAGTTCAGCATCCATGAAGTGGCTGTACTGACTTTCACTTACATTGCTGTGACTGTCATCCAGTGACTGGGATCTGAATAGGACATGGAGATTGCCGCCTGTGTTCTCCACCGAGAAATGCAGGGCTATCTTTAACAGTAAGTATGTTGTATGTAATCCACACTAGTTCAAAAACTAAAACCGTATCTTTACAATGATACAAGGTTGCTCACATTGGCTTTCTGTAAGATATTGTGTTAAATTTGGTCTAATTCTGACTATCTATAATACATTACCAATAAAATTGGCTCCAATTTGGTTGCTATTTACCATTGGTTCTGTTCCTGTTACTCCTTACTATAATTTTAAGGCATGACTGTGTTACTCTTAGCTGTCATCTCTCTGGACCAAAAAAGTTATGAAGTTTCGTTTGCATTAATAGAAATTCAAAATGTAGAATCCACTCAGAAATGAGCGGACAGTGGGATGTCTTATCTTCATTCACAGTCTGACTCTTAACAGTATAAATCAAACATGGAAAATGACAGTAATTCTTAAACTTAGGTAAGAACCAGGCTTTCCACCAGAATGCCCTGATGTCCTTAGGTCTTAGGCAGGAGAAATACATTGATTATTCTTTTAGAGTTCTCAGCTATGTAACTGTTGTTATCAAAAGTTCTCTCCATGTAGCAAAGCCGGTGTTTTTAGCACTTCCGCCATGCTAGGAAGCTGCTGTCTCATAATTTACACTTGATGTTCTGATTAGTTTTTAAAAAGATCATTCAATAGAGAACCTCCTGTTCATGCTGTTTGTGGAGACAGCCAAATAAAAATTGATGATAAATGAGAATTTTGTTGTTCTTGTTTTGTTGTTCTTTTGATCTGATCTGAAATAGTTTTCCATCGAGCCCCTGTTTCCATCAGGGCCCCTGATTCAGTGTAAGCAATCTCTGGTTTGTATTTACATGTATGACTGGTAAATACCCTACGGAACGTCTTCACTCTTTAATTTAAACAAAGTACCACATGGAATTAGAAATATTTATTCAGAATATAAGAACGTTTGTAAAATATTATAAATGTCTCTGTATAAATAAATGGAGTTTTTTTTTAAACAATTCTATATCAAATAACACAAAGTAGCTATTTTACAGCAGCTAAAACTAAAGGCATCTGGAAACATTTAAAGCTACAAGTGAGCCTAAAAAATTACAAGGTATAGTACAGTGTGTTTAGTAGCCACTTCCGAGTGAAACTTCGGTACAAGTAGAATAGGCCTGACAGATGCAGATAGTCACATGTGCTTTAACAGCAGTACGTTCAGGTGGTATAAAAACACATTTTCAACTAATAAAAAAGTTAAATTTCATGCAGAGTAAGTTTATAATAATCTAAAAGCAGATTAGAAATAGAAGTGAGCACGTTTTGTAGTCTTTGCATCAGGTCCTGACAAAGTTAGGCTCTCAGAGCTCTTAAGGGGGTGTCCTGACCGGAGCACCGCAAAGGAACGCTACAGACAAACAACATTTTTCAAAAGGTGAATGATAGAGCAGAAACATTATCTAACCAGAGCGTCTGTATGGGTGTGGAGTTCTCTACAGGACTTATGTGCTGTTGGTGAGCAGGCCTAGTCAGTAATTTTCAGATGAGAGATTGGGAAGATCAAATGCTAACTTTTGGGTGTCATTATCCAACCATGGTTCTTGACTCTGGGACCCGGCTTTTTTTTTTTTCTTTGTACACATGTGTGAAATATCAGATGATGTGTTATGTATACTGGATGACCAAAATTGTAGCACTTGCCTGTATATGAAAATGTCTTCCTCTGTAGAAGAGT